GCACTTCATCGTGATGGGAGTCAGAGCGACAGGCCGGTAATCATTGATTGAGGTGACCTGAGGCTTCTTTGGAACCGGAATAATGGTGGCAGACTTGAAGCATGCTGGCACTATGGATTGGTCCAGCCAGGTGTTAAAAATGTCTGTGAGGACACCAGCCAGCTGATCTGCACACTCCTTATACACCTGCCCAGGTATGTTATCAGGCCCTGGGGCCTTCCTTGGGTTGACTCTCCTCAGAGTTTTCCTCACTTCAGCTTCGTCCAGGCAGAAAGAAAGAAAACTCTAAATCAAGTCACAATTTGAGACTCTGAATCCCACTGATAACTCAACTCAAAAATGCGTTTTGCATCACGTTTTTCTCCCACACTGTTTACATGTAATCACTGCTACTATTTATGTAAAGGAAATGTTCATTTCACTGCAAAGCTGCTGCTCATTTACTGTCTGAAAGCTGTACAAAAGGAAAGTCATTGGCAAACCTCTGAATTTGATCTTCCCAGTCGCTACAGTCCAGTCCGTGCAATGTTGATGTCCAACTCAGGCTTTGTGAAGACCATCACACATCTGTCCAACTGCGATGAGGCGATCAACAGTTGAATGTTGTCTAGTTAGTTATCTAACTTTTGCCAGGAGAGTGGGGGGAGTTGTTGTCTACTGGTTAGCCTTCAACCTGGAGCCCCGCCCATCCTACTTACCCTGCTTCTGTTTCTGTTCTTTCTCCCTCTTATATGTCACAGAAAGTGGATATTCAGATTGCCGATAACCACTGCAGTTTGGGTGGAATAAAGTCCCATTTAGGGAGTCTGAAAGCTTTTCTGTTGTTCTCTTGTTCTAAAAGCTCTTGCCTTCAACATTAGCTCAAACCTCGAAGGATTGAAAACATGATCAAAATCAGAGATCCAAATACAGAGCCAAGAACCAATGCAGACACCTGCACATCAATTTTTCTGGAATAAAGTTGTTCCATTAGATCCATTTCCACAGCACCTGTTTCCCTGTAATCTGTCATTAAAGTATTGAAACAATTAAATCATTGAGCTACAAAAATGCAAAGAAAATAAGAAGCTATGATAAGTTCAGAAATAATTTAGATCCAGAGGGAAGTCTTCAGCTGGTCAATAATCAAACAATGAGTGTACCTCATCTCTAAATGCATTCAGATGTTTTTATTTAACTGACTATGAAGCTTGAATATGTGATTGTTTTTTTATTTTCTGTTCAGTACATTTTTTGATTTTTTAATATCTTTATTTTTATCAAATAATTTCTAATTATTCTATTGCACTTGTGAGTGGCAGGTTACTATATAACAAAGTAATAACATTTCATGCTAAAATTCATTTTAGAAGTTGAATACTTAACATCTAACATAATCATTTAAGCGATTCAATTTAGGGAGTTGTTCAGCAAAAAATAAGAGAATTTACAGAGATATATTTTTCAAAAACAAAAAACATTCCAGTCTCCTGCCAAGCTCTATTAAATGTGTTTGCTATTGAAGAAAAAGCATAAAGTATTTCTTACCACGACTGAGTCCATTGGGGCCTCGAAGTATCCGACATTCCTCTATCTGTCCGTATGGTGAGAACATCAATCGAATGTCGTTTTCATTGCACTTCTTGGAGATCATTCCAATAAAAAGTTTTCTGTCCTCTACTGCTGATTACAACAAAACACAGCATTAAAACTATTTGGATATTGTGACACTAAACTTAATATGCAAATGAGTCATCAGAATTTAGACTCTCTAGAAAAATGCCCAGAATAAAAAAAAAACAAAAACATTTTAACAGATATAAATTACACATTAGCATAGCACAAAAAGTAAGGTTTGGTTAAATTTGGCTTGGTGGCAACAATTTTTGGCTCTACTTCAACAACAGCTTGAATAGCCAAGTTTTTGCACACAAGCAAGGACACTGAATTTTTTTTTATTCACTCTTAGGGTACGCCAAGGAAATGTGTTTGTTCAACACGTTTCAGTAACAGGTTGATTCTAACTTTTTTTACATAAAAAAGAAAAACATTTGTTTTGAAAAAAAAAAAGAAAATG